TTGATATAAAAATACGATTATCAATATTAACTAATTTTTTAATAATACCATTAGGTTCATCGCCAAATGTTAAATCCACTTTTTCTGTACCTTTCCACAAATACACTTTTTGTGCCATAATTTAATATTTAAACAAAATGTACTCATAATTCATAATATCTTTCTATTCTCCTCCCTCATCAAACAGTGGATTATTATGATATATTTTTATAATTTTTTATTTTTTGTCATGTCAATGAATAACTTCTTTGTTTTTTTATTATCAAACTAAAGATAATAATACTTTTTACTCCACATATTTAATTAATCAACGATGTATGTTGAATAGATTAAAAAGTTATTTTTATAATAAGGTTATAAATTGTATTTATTTACTTTATCCTTAATTATTTAACTGCTTTAATTAAATAGCTTTAATTAATCAGATGACAGTTCATGTCATTCAACACTCATGTTATGTTTCATTACAGTATCTATCCCTACTCATTACTTATGTATATTTACACAAAATAATATACTCACTCACACATTCTAAGAGGCAACATTCTAACCTCACTTGCTGTAACAATATTTTAATAATCATAAAGAGTAAAACATTTTATTAATTTAAGAATTCAAATTGCATAAAATAATTTTTAATTATAAAGTAATCAAGTATAGTTATTTTTAAAAACTTTTATTTAACTTCATTAAATTATTCATTTGATTGAAATTTTTCAGTATTGATAATAAAAAATTTGTAGTTCCCGCTTGATAAAATGCCTTTGCTTAACTTAATTAAAAACTAGAGGCCGCTTATTCAAAAAAACAAAAATGGCCGAAGATTTTAATTTAAACACTAAAAACTTATTGAAGACCACATTATTTGTAAATACTGTAATTATTACGAGAAAGAATAAATGAAAATACTATAGCTTAATTAATTAAAAATTCGTGATAATTCATGACTTATGAGATTCTTGTAATTGTTATTAAAATGATTATTGTAGTGTGAAATTGTAAATCTGAAAAAAAAAATTTGAATTATGATACTAAAATTAACAGATACTTCGACAGCTTTTTGATTTCTCTTGAATAATAAACCAGGTCTAGAAAATTATTTAAAAAAATTTCATTCATAAATTTTTAGAGCTTCTAAAGACCGAATTTTTTGAATTAATTATTTATGAAAATTAATTTAGCAGATATTTAATAATTTATGAAAATAAAGTTAGCCGACATTTCGAAATCTTTAGAAATTTTTTATTGAAAAAATTTCAATTGAACGATTAAAAAAAAAAATTCACATGTAAAAAACTTGAAAAACTATAAGTGGAATTTTTTATAAATTAATTTAGCAGATATTTAATAATTTATGAAAATAAAGTTAGCCGACATTTCGAAATCTTTAGAAATTTTTTATTGAAAAAATTTCAATTGAACGATTAAAAAAAAAAAAAATTCACATGTAAAAAACTTGAAAAACTATAAGTGGAATTTTTTATAAATATCTTTTTAGTTGTAATTTAATTAATAAAAAAAATTAAAAAATTTTTAGACGTCTGGTAACTTTAATGTTATAATAAATTATGGCAAAAAACATTAAAAAAAAAAAAAATTGACATGTAGAAATTTAAAAAAATAAAAAATGCAATTTTTTAAAAGTCATTTTTTTTCAACAAATTTGTTTGTTAAAAAAATTAAAAAAATTCTCGAGTAACTGCTAACTTTAATGTCATTAATTATTTGTTAAAAGTTTTTAATAATTATCAGTTGTCTCTCAATTTCAATATCATTAAAGAATTCTATTCGTCGTAATATAAATATTAAATTATTTTCTAAAGCGATTTAACAGGTTATCTATTTTCCTTCTGTTAGTGAATTTATGGAAAAATTGAGACGTAACTGGAATATTTTTTAAAAAGGGAATACTGAATTAATTTTCCTAAAATTGATTGTTGGTGGTAACTCATTAAAATAAATCAAGAAAAGCCTATAGAGAATTCAAAAGATTGGAACTAATTGCTATAATTACTAGGTAAGCTGGAATACCAGTGCGGAATCGTATATTCAATAACAAAAAAGTGTCCATCCAGAAATTAAGAAAAATGGTGAAAAACATAAAAATAACATGATAAGTATTGAAATTAGCAGACATCTGACCATGTCTAGAAGTTTTATAGCCAATCAATTATGATAAAAAAAAATATTTAAAAAAAATTCACTCTTTTAAATTTTTTTAATTACTACATGCGGATTATTTTTGCTAAATATTTTTTATTATAATTTAATTGTTATATGAATCTAAAAAATTGTTGGATGTCTTTTAAATTCATAGTTTGGCAGTGTGTCAAAGTTCAGTCAAAAATAAAATTGAACAATCGTTTTTATCAAAAAGCAAATCTAAAAAAATTAAATAAACTACTAATAATCAAAAATTAGAGTTTATAACTCCCACTTAAAATATCTTCGCTTACTTCATCAACACTAGATGTCGTTTGCTCACGGTAAAAGCCGGAGGTTACCGAAGATTTTAAACACCGATCGTAATGAACAACAGTTTCACACACGTGTGTCATCTTTCATATTGCTGAAGCACGCGTCAACAGTCCACAAGTGGCAATTGTTTTCAACAGTCAGGCTTCTGTGAAGTTATTTTATTTATTTACTTATTAATTAAATATACATAGTTACGATCACATGTAAGTAATTGTTCTTGTATTAATAACAATTGTTAATTTTAATTTTATTGTTTACTTATTAGTTATTTTATTAGGATAGTATATTATGATAAAAAAGGTAGTAGATAATTTTTTAAACTCACGCAAATTACTTCAATTTATGAGTTGATGTTTAATATTAATTGATGCGATTATATTTTTTTTTTCGCGAGCAATTGATAAATAATTGAGTTATTTATTTTAATTAAATCACAATAGAAGAATTTCTATGCTGATTTTATTTAATTTAAATTTGACAAATACAATTATGGTAAATCAGCGGTATAGTGAATTACACTTTAATATCCTAATAATAAATAAATAAATAACTAGTCATCACGCTGCTTGACAACTTTGCAAAGTAACTGAACTTGTCATATTATTTGAGACTGGACATACTTATATCAAAATTATCTTGAAAAAAAAAATTTTTTTTCTTTACAGAGGGAACTCAATTTATTAACATAAATCATTCAAATATTACATTTGAGTTTCATACACTACAATCATTTGATAAAAATTAATTCAAATAAAAGGTATCGAAATGTTTTTTTAATGCAATTATTTCGATCGGCATAAAAGCTTTTATAAGTAATAAATTACCAAAATTAGATTGAATTCGGCAATCATTCATTATCAATATTTGATCATTAAGAAATATTATAAAAAAATAAATCTTAAAAATTTTAATATTCCCCTTCCAATATCTTTATTTTTATACGCAAGTCAACGAATACCTGATCTTCTTTAAACAATATATTAGTATACAGAGAAAATATTTATCTTCACGTCTAAGTGATACTAACTTTACGGCTATAAATTTGGTTTTATTAATCACAGTTTTGATAAAAGATTAAAAAAAAAAAAAAAAAAAAGATTTTTAAATTCTAAATTTCCAGTTTTTAAATCTTTCGGCAGGTACCTATAGTAACTTTATACATATTTTCGATCACAAATATTAGTAAATATTATACGACAGCGAACAAGTGAAAAAGAGAGAGAGTACGAAGCTTGTACGTACATGTTTAAAGTTCTTCTGCAAATTAAATCTTTTATTTATAAATTTGCATTATCACAGAATAAATCCTATCTGATAATCATAACGATAAAAGTTGACTTTGCATCTTATTTACGCGCACATTACTCACCGCTCTTAACTGTCAACTATATGAACTTTGACTATTTTTTTTTCTTTTTTTTTTTTCCAGACTAAAAAACTATATACGTACAGACGTGAGCATTAATGCCTGGATTAAAAAATGCATGAGAGTTAATACATTTTTAACCTGGGCATTAATGCTCACGTCTGTACGAAGAAATGACTTTATAATAAATTTTTCTTTGGAAAGAGATAAAGAATTTCCCTTATCTATTTAGCGGCGTTGCTCAATAGATACTTCATATTTTGGGCCACGGATCTAGTCTGGACCATATTCATTCCAGGTATGTATCTTTATACGTTATATTTTAATAATAATAGTGATTTATTAACGTAAAATTAGTAATTAACAAATGGTTCATTGGCATCATTACTGATTTGTAATTTCTTCGTAAATTATTCATGATGAATATTCATTCTTCCTCTATTAGCATAAGTAATCTTTTTAATATTTTTGAATAAGAAAGAAAAGATGACAATTGTATCTGTTTCAAAATTTATTCGTACACTTTGTTTAACATGATTTTATATAAGTTTGTGTACAGTGTTTTTCAATTGGAACATTCATGTTTTTTCAGGTTTTAAATGTATTATTATAATACTGGCTTCCTTAATATAAATTATTGCATAATATATTTTGCACTGATTATATTTCAGATCCAAATATTTATTGTTTTTTCTATTCTATAAGACAAGATCACTTGAAAAGTTATTGCAAAATTTTTAATATAACAATTGAAAGAAATATTATAATAACAAACATTATTTTTAAGTTATGTTCAATTTAATTTATTGAACAAAAAAAATTTATTAGCTTGTCGTATCTTTTTCTATATAAATGTTTAACTTTTTATAATTTTAATTGTATATTTGAAATTAAAATATTTGACGTTTTATCGATCCGCATTATAAATTTAAAATAATAGATAAATATTTGTAAGAAATGATACAGGTCGTAGTTCAAAGCCTTATTATACTACATCGTTTTGTACTTTAATTAATATTTAATTAGTTTAAGTATGCTTTTTATTAACGCAAAAATATTGCAGCTGTATAAATTTTATTCAAAAAATCTAAAAATATTTAAAAAATAATTGCACCATTCAAAATATAATAAAATTTTCTGTCTTTGTTTAATAAGAATGATAGGGGTATCGTGTAGCAGTGTTGGGCTTGGTCTCCTTATCATACTTGTTGTTTTATGTACTGTCAGTGGAGCAGCGAGATATCGGGCTAAATACACTTTATACATATTTTGTAGTTTTTTATTCGCCACAGCACCTATACCATTGATGTTATTACGTCCTCGCGATTGGAGAAATGCACTGTAAGATTTACTTTCGTTTATGTTTTAAAAATAATTAAAATATGAAAATTGTCATAAAAAATCAGAAGCATAATAGATTATAATTTTGTACAGCATACCGGCATGGTTGATAACACGATTTTCACGTATAATTGGGTGTCATTTTATTCTTATTGGAAAAGAGAATATTGTTAAAGAAACTGGTGCAGTTGTTCTTATCAATCATCAAAGTTGTTTGGATGTTATTGGTAATTATATAAATACATTAGAAAAAAAAAAAAATTAGAGTAGAATAAAGTCCAGCTCTTCAAGTCTAAAAATGTAAATATTTATTGGTTTATTTATAATACGCATTGTTAACACCGTGGTATATTTTTTTATTATGCTACAAGTATAGAGTAAAATTTTGATCCTTTTTGCATCTTTATTAAGTAAACATTATTTATTTATTTTTGTAAACTCGATAAATTGATCTTTTTAGATAATCTACTGATACGAAAGTGGATTAAAGTACTTCAATGTCAAGTTTGTATAAATTTAATGATAAACAGAAGCAGACGATAATTTTTATAATTATTTAGTTAAATAAAATAATGGTGTCGCTTACACACTTCTCGTAGGAAATAGGACTTTTCTACTCTAAATAATACTTTTATATTAATTACGCAATATTAATCAAATTTTTGTTCAGTTTTAGGGGAATTATGGCCAGTCCTTGAACGCTGTACAGTTATTGCTAAAAATGCCGTTTTATACTTAGGATCCTATGGATTAGCTTCGTGGTTATGGGGAACAATATTTATTGATCGAAAAAATTCAAATGCTCAAAATAAAGTGAATTCAACTATAGAGATTATTAAGAAGAGAAGGGTAACAATACTAATTAATTATTACTGAAAAAAAAAAAAAATTATATCCATTTATTGAATTTTCTTCATAGTGTAATTTTTGCTTTAGGCAAGAGTACTCTTTTTTCCTGAAGGTACACGGCATTCTAACAATACTTTGAAGTCTTTTAAAAAAGGCGCGTTTCATGTAGCTATTGATTCTCAAATACCTATCCAACCTGTGGTTGTATCTAAATATTATTATATCAATCATAAATTAAAAAGATTCGATTCCGGTAAGATATTTTTAATTGTTACAAATTTCAAATAATCTCAATACTTTGTGCTTACACAATTTGTTTACATTTTACATTTAAGGAGTGAATTATATATCAATTTTGCCACCTATTTCTACTGAAGGAAAGACCAAAAAAGAAATACCTTCACTGATGGAACAAGCTTATCAATGTATGAACGAAGAATTTAAAAAAAAAACACAAGAAGCTATAGAAAATTTCATGGTTGATAAAAAACAGTGATCAGTTCAAAAGTTATTCTCAACACAGTTGACTACTCATTATCAACCTAATTTAACGAGTAATTACTCAAATAAATTGTAATGCCAGTTCGATATTAAGTAAAAATAACGATAAATGACGTTGAAAATGTATATATTTTGACAGACCGGTGCCCTTCCACTTCAATTTTCGTTTTAATATTATATAGTAAATAATTAAATTTTATATAATATATTATAATACAAAGTAAACTATATTAAATATAAGATAGCAAATAAAATTTTTTCATATACATTACAAAATATTTTTTTGTTTATTAATTGGAATAAAAAAAAGACTACCTATATCAAAAAAATTTTTTATTTGAAGATTCAAATTTAATTACTTTCCAGAAATAATATCTTTTAGAATGATTTTCAGGATTCATAACTATGTTAATTAGAAAAAAAAATAAAAAAACAAAATTTTTTATACTTCGAAAACGATTTATTTTTTTTCGTGTAAATTAAAAAGGAATATTGTTTTTAATACTAAAACACTTTTATCTATAGATAAATTATGAAATTGAAATCAACAATAGTTCACACCCGACCATTTACCTTAAGTGACTGAGAGTCGTGCAATTATTCATATCAGTACGTTTTAAATTTACAAATTCAATTTAGTTTACATTAACGTAGTATTCTCTTATTAATTATTGCGGCCTCAATTACCTGAGTGTTTTATAGAACAAAATACGCTTAATTGACAATATGATACAATTATTTATATAAATTGTCTAACTTAGTAATTAAAAAAAAAAAAAAAAAAAAAAAATCGTCTTTTTCATGAAAATAAGCGTTTCTCTTGATAACAATCGAGGTAATTGTGTTTCTTTCAAATGATTGTCAAGATTAATTATTAGTAATGTCCAGTAAATAAAAAATGGCTATAATACTGGTCGTATAATTTAAATTCCTCAATTTCAGATAGCCATGAAGATTTTTATCCATTGACAAAAATTATTGATAAGAATAAGTATACAAAATATTTATTTACATAGATTTTTGGACAATACTACATAGTAAATTACTATCAAGTATATTATTAATAATTAAATTTAAACTAATTTACTTAAAATATATTATAAATTATGAGTGATTTAATTAAGGGGCTTATTAATTATAATTTAAATAATGATATAAAAAAAATAATAAACAGCCATTATTTATTCTTAAGACAAGTGAAACGATTCAAAATATTTATCTTGACTGATTATTATAATATCGCTTATCATAATACTTTTTTCATGTATCCTGTGGTGATGTATATATCAATAACAATTGCCCATGACTGATGAAAAAAAGTTAATAATTTATAAAAATTTAAATCACAAAAGGAATTACTGAATTATTTATGATTACTAGCAGTCTTGGCCATGACCAAGGGATGGTCTTGGTCTTCGTTGAGGTTTTTTTTTTGCTTTACTCTTTTTTTAATATTTATACCACGTAAAGTCTATTTGTAAAGTTATGTTAAAATAACTAGCTGCCAAAACTTGAAATAAAAAAAAAATAAAATAAAATAAAAAAAAGAAGACTTAAAATATTGGACTTGTTGTATTCGTTGATTTCCTTGAAACAGCTCTTGATGTTGGCATTTACGCAGGAAAATTATAAATCCCTTAGTTCAATTAAGTCGGCCAGAATATGGTCTATCAGGAATACGGGGAGGAATATTGGGTACAGGGCGCCTAAACAAACATATTAGATGTATTATAAATAATTGTAAGAATATTTTAATTAAATAGCTAAAAAACATATAATAAAATATTTTTTATAGAAATAAACCTTTTTCAAGTAATGCTATAAAATCTTAAATAAAAGAAAAATTGCATATCTGCAAGAGAAGAAAAAGCACAAATGCCATAATTACAAAACAATGATAATATAAAAAAAAAAAAAAAACTAACTTTAAAACAAACGCAAGCATCAAAGCAATAAAATAAGTAATCATGCAGAAAAAATTTAAAATAAAATAAATAAACAATCTGTATAAGGAAATAAAGGATGAAAACTATAACAGGTGCCAATAAATATATAGAATGTAAATTCACATTTCTTTACTGTAAATTGTAATATTGTATGTTTACAATTGAAAATGCGTACTTCAGCATTCACCATAATGATTATTTTTTTTTTTTATTATTTTTCATCTCTTATTTTTACTTATATATATTTATATATATATATATATTCTATAACATATTATATGTTCTATATATACATTTACATTGCAATAAAAAGTATGGCAAGTCGTTTTACTTTTGAATAGTATCAATGTTGTACATATATATATATATATATTATTTTTACTCTTGAATTTAGTGATCATATATTTCTATAGTCAAAGAAAATATAATTTAAAAATTTTTATTATTATTAATCGAGTAAGATAACAAATTTTAATGACATATTATCAAATTGAAGTGTTTAATTATTTTCTAAAATAAAAGTTTATTGAAAAATGATTGTAAAATAAACCACAATTAAAGTCACTTTTATTTAGTTTAAATACTTAAACTATTTTTAAAACAGTTTTTAATTCTTATTATTACATATAAAAAGTAAAATGACTTGTCAAAAAATAGTGATATACTTCTCGTAATGAGAATATTCCGTAGCAAGGCATAACCTGATTCTGCAAAGTAATGCTAATAATAATATCCATAATCCTACGTTTAATTGTTGTTCAATCTGTCTATTATATTTCATTTCATTATTTATTTTACTTGCTTTTCATTGTAGTTTTAATATTTATTAACGTGGTAATACGCGTTTCAAAAAGGCGGTAATGGTTTTTCAAATTTTTTTTTCATAGTATGATAACATCATATCTGTTGTGTTAAACTTAGTTGGCATACAACACAACTATTTCTGTTCAATGATTTGACTTTCTATCGCGTGTCTTGATAATTCGTTTAACATATGAATGATCAAATTTAAATGATTCTCGAAGTGCATTAAATGTAAGGCTATTAAACAAAAGCGATATCGCTTTAAACAGTAATTTTTTTATCTATTTAATTATTTTCTTTTTTCATAGCATAAATTACGAAGCGTGAATCATTATCGATTAATAGCTATATCAGAATCATGTGAAATTTTTTTTCAACTAAAAAAAAATTTTTTATCATTTATTTTTTTATTCCAAGGAGATCTATTATTTAGCTACAATATAATTTTACATTGGGGGACTATATTTTGACTAATTTTTTATTTAATGATTATATTACTTTCTATAAATAATTATTAACATTATTTTTTGAACTTAGCAGTTCAATACTGGAAGATTTCATTAAATTAAAAATAATAAAATAAAGTAGTTTCCATTATTTTATAAAAAAAATTTTTGTAATTCATCCATCGTTTTAAATTTTGTTTGCAATGATAAAAATTTCATAAAAATACAAACTTCAGTCACAATTGGATACACACAAAAATTATTATGTTTTATTTATTGTAAGTTTTATTATGTAAAAACATTGTTTCGGGTTTTATTAATGGTTTATTAATGGTTTATACATTTGTAAAGTAAAACCATTAATTAAAAAAAAAAAAAAACCTTTTAATTGTTAATTTAATATAATAATTTATGCTCAATAATTTAATTAAAAAAAAAAATAAAAATTTCTCAACAAAATGACCGTTTAATATTTAATGAAATCAACGATTGAACAACTAAGTTATAAGCATACTTTTAAAATTTTTAAATCTTGTCTTACGGTAATTGTGTCAACATAGTTACACAAGCAAGTGATAAATTTAGTGCATTATATTTCAATGATAACGAAGATATATCAAAGCCCCTATTAGTGTTTACACCCTCATAAAATTTAAACTCCTTTTTTATATTGTTTATAAAGTAGGCAAGTATGTATATTATAATATTTTATTATTATTTATTTCAACATTAAGTTTATTAAATTTTTAATCGATTAATTGACTTGTCAGTGTCACCATTTGTAAAATGAAATAATAAAATTATAAATATTATAAAAAAGAAAAAATAATCTGTGATTATAAAGCACAGTTTTATTATTTAATTGCTGGAAGTTTAACTAAAATCTGTTTCTCTATTATAGGTATATCTATCTAGGAATTAATTTGACAAGTCGAAAATAAATATTACATATTATTTTGGCTACTATATAATGTTAAAATAATCGAAAGACTACGATGTTTATAAAAATTAAAAATACCATCAACATCAATATTAAATAAATAATTAATACTTTTATTATTGCTAAAGTTCATCAGATCATATGTTATAATGTTTACATTATTATCAATAATGATGAAATAATAAAATTCAGTAAAACTTCCTTAAACAAAAACTGAAATTTTCGTTGTCAAATATTAACTAAAATTTACAAAAAAACACGATAAAATAAATAAATAATACGAATAAGTTAGAAAGTGCAATAGTGTACCCATAAAATTAACTACTTGATATGCCATTTTATATGCCCCACACTAAAAATTAGTACCTAAATTACTTTGACATTTTTTTATCAATTCATTATTATTATTTATAAAATAATATTTCGTAATGTCAAAGTTTATAAACTAATATCAAATGTACTATTCGCTAACAAGCATGGGACATGACAATTTAATTATTTATTTGCAACAACAATTATCGTAATAATTATAGCTTTGAAATATCATTATTTATATGTATATTATTTAATGTCTTTTTTTTTCTTATTGATCTATTTAACTCAGGTATACCAGTGCATGGAATGTAAATGTACTAATTTTCACTGTACAATAACATCAATAATCCATTTCTGATTACAGTTAAACATTATTTATTTATTTTTCTTTTTCTTTATCTTTCTTTTTTATTGGTATCATTTTCCATTAGAAAATAAATAATATGTATCTGCATATATTGTTTTTTTTTATCTTCATTTTATCAATATTCATTGATGCGTAATCAGAAATTTATGTACATCAAATTTCAATTAAAGTAAAAAAAATTGACAATTGTCGTTTTTTATGACAGAAAAAAAGTTATTAGGCCCAGCAAAAAATATATTTAAATTAAAATATAATTTATTCTGTCCATTATTATCATTGATCTTTCCAATATTTTGATTTCATTTAGCTGTATTTTTACAACAACTATAAACAATTGTGTAAAGTATATTTCAATTTAATCGATCATTTCTACAACGTTACTGTGCTTTATCTGTCATTATTTTCAAACGTTTTTACTACATTTAATTTTTTTTTTTTTTTTTTTTTTTAAATAAATAATTGATGAATTAGTGGAAGTTTAAATATACAAAGTTATAATGATTATTATAATTATTTTTAATAATCTACATCTGAGTAGAATTCAACATCAACAAATTTGAAAAATATTTTCAAATAACAAAGTATTCGTTTAAATGAAATTGTCTCCATTGATTAAGACTGCACAACTTATAATTTTTTTTGTTTTAAATTCCGATTAACGCGTGAATAGTTTTAAGTGTTTATCGCAACACTTTTCTCCAATAATTTATTTGAACAATTCATATATACTTTAAAAAGACTAACAGCATGACAGAATTAATTATTATTGTTATAATTATTTATTTATTATTATAATTTTTTTTTTTTTACAATAAAACTTTGTTTCTTTTCAATAATTTATACATAATTTTAGTCTGTGTTTTAATAACACAGTATAAATGCTTGTGGAATGATTTTGCTATTTTAAAGACGATTATAATACCAGGGTTCTTAAGTAGACTTTTCAGGAAATTAATTAAATACTTCTGGTAATTAATTAATTATAAATTTTTGAATGCATAAGGCTTTTTGCATTGGTAGTTTATACTAACAAAATTAAAAAAGAAGCCTTCTCCATTAATCAAGTTTGGGGACATGCAAATAGAAAGAGCAGTTATTCGCAAACTTGTTACATTTTTAAAAACAGAAATAAAAAGTATTAGTGCATTTGCAACCCTGAATAGTCTACCGTACTACGTAATTAGATTTTGTAGAACACGTCTGTTACGACAAGAAGTGAAGACTTAATTATTGTTTATTTATATTCTTTAATTGAAATTAAAAATTATTAACTAAATATATTGAAAGCCATCGTATTGCGTTTATTTACTTGATCCTGAATGCATCCATCAGCTCGTTCACAGCAGCATTAGCAGCAGCTTGTGTCGCGGCTTGAGTCACTCTTTGTTGGATACCTCCGCGACTAAACACATCACGTATAAACTTTGAACTATGCTCTTATTTTTTTTATTTCTTATTTTATTTTATGTTATTTGACGTCAACTCATGATTTTTACTGTTTTTCTTTTTATACTTATAGAAAACACCCAGAAGAATGCATCGTTTAAAAAAAAAAAGAGTCTTTATCTTTATTCTTAAAATTTTTACTTTAATTGAGCAATATATGATATTCAAAAGTTAAGCATCAAAATATTTAAACGATAATTCTAAGCTTAATGCAGGCACCGACTTATGATTTTAACTTTTGCGTAAAAGAATATTTTTTTTTTTTTTTATGAAAAGAAACTAAAACCATTTGTTAAAAATAAAGCATAAAAAAAGCCATAACCGTGTAATGTAAAATAAGTATACCTCACATTTAATAACATTAGTTTATTACTGATATAATTTCTATTTATGTTTTATTATAAAATTCATGTTGAAAAACTCCATTCGTGTCAAGTCATTCATCGTCTCACAGTGATATTTCTATAATATTATTTTTTGTATTTAATGGTTTATATCTTGTTTGACAAACTAAGTATTTAGGCTACAGATCGCGTCTAAAAATTAGACATCTATACATTTACTTAAAGAATATATTAAAATATATAAAAAAAATATACCAACTTTTTTCACATCATAATTTAGAAATAGTCTACCAAAGTATGTTTTTAAAATTTTTTAAATATTAGACGATAGTTTAAAAACAAAATTTTTTCCTTCTTCATACTTCAAATTTTGTAATAATCTGTTATCTAACTCTCTAAATTGCATTCATTAAAAAAATAATAACTATACAAGTAGTTTATCGTATGCATTTTTTATTTTGCGTCGTCAAAAGTTAATCTTTTTTATCTTCAACATAAATAATTAAATTTATATAAACTTAGTCGGTCCCAGTGGTTGAGTAATTAGTACGCTTGTCACTCGAATTCGATTATCGGTTAGTAATAGCTTCTTGAGCTCCAGTAGTAGTTAAAATATTCGTTTCGTCTCTGTGCTATTATAGACAACTTTACGGTAATTAAAGGCAGTTGCAACCACAGTTTAATGGTGATAATAGGAATAAAAAGGAAGAAGAAAGTAAACTTTATAAAAAAAAACCAGGATAAAATATTCAAATAAAACTGAATCATTCAAGCCATTTTATGGAGAAGTTCTCAGAAAAAATACTTGACCATTCAACTACCTTCTAGTATATTTGAACAAATTTTGAAATTTCAAAAATGCACACCTCATAATGCTCATTTAATTTAAAAAAAAAAAATCAGTCGTATTACTGACTTGTTTTCATTCTTTGAACAATTGAACAAATTGTGCTTTAATTTTAGATTCAAAACATTTCACACCATTTTTATCTCAGATCTCAATTTATTTTGTATTGTTGTTCAATTGTCTATGTAATACAACTAAGTCTGTAATATGACATCTTTTTTTTTTAATTAATTAAGTGAGCGTTATGAATGGTGCACTTTTGGATTTTCGAAACTTTTTTTTTCTTAATTTGTTTGGAAAAGTATTTTAATACTTTTTAAACTTTAAACTTTATTTTTCAATAAAGATAAAAGAGAAGATAAAAATTTTTTTTGTTAACTCCTTCAACTTGTTACTAAAAATACACATTTTTAAAAAGTTGGTATTTCATAAAAATACTTATTATATCAGTAATAATAAAAAAAAAAAAAAAAAAACCAAGCTAATAAAACTTGGAGTAAATTTCAACTCTTTACCCGGCTACGGCCTTTATGTATATATTTACAATATTGAAAATCTGTCATGCTGTTAGTAAGTAAATAAACTTGTTTATTTCTTTTTAAGCTAATAGAAAACTATGATACCAGCATTTTTGGTCTACTTTAGTTTTTTTATATTTTTTTAGCAAAACAAACAAAATGTACAACATATTATTCAATAGGTCCTGATCATAATTATTTTGTATCGCTGGACCTAATTTCCATTTCAGAAATAAATATATAAACTCTGCTTATTGTACATACATTTTTGTACTTATTATTATTAATTAATAGTAATAATTATTGTTATCATTAATCATAGTTTGTCCGAATATAAATTAAAAATAAAACAAATAAATGGATGGTTTAATACGATCAGAAACAAAAAAATTGTAGAAGGATTATTAAAAACAAGTTATTACAATTTTTTTCCGAAATGTTGACTAGTTAAATGCAACGGGTATACTGATTAGTAGAGAAAGGACTTGTGTTAGTGCGAAGACTTATTGTCGGCGCCTGCAATAGAAAGTGATGTTAGCACCAAAGCCCAAAATGATTTGCGCGATGTTTTATTAGTTTTATAATAATATAATAAAAAACAAGTTAAACACAGTGCCGAAATTAAGAATATTTTTAATGATGCTTTCACGTGGGCACTTGGGTAACATAAAGGATAAAAAAATATAAAATAAGATATATATTATTTATTTGAGTACTTACGATGGGATTAGGGGAGGTGGAAGCCCGGGTGTTCCACGTGATGGTGGTGGACCTCCAGGTCCAGGTCGGTTGGGGATAGCTGGAGCTGGTCGTCCACCTGCTGGTACTGGTGGTGGTGCTCGTGAACTTGCAGGTGGTGGAGGTTGAGTCACACCACGTCTAGGACCTCCTGGTGACGGTGGCGACAATCTAAAACAATAATTTATGTTTATTAAACACATGTCTGATAATTTAATTACTGCATAACTAAATTATTTAAAATTTTTGTTCTTTATTTATTGCTCTTGGTGTTACTAAAAAACTAGTTACAATAATTCGTGAAGGGTTTCTACAATTGGGCGATTTAAAACAGAATAAAATATCGAGTAATCGTCTTACCCATAACTGTGACATTGATGTTTGATAGTATGTAGCAAAGACACATAATAAACAATATGGAGAAGACAGAAAATGATTTAATTTAAAAATTGTTTTTTGTTATGTAGAGTTAGAATTGCTAATAATTTAACGCGTTATTTACCTTGGGTTTTCACCCGATGCAAGCCAATCATTTTTCACTGGTGGTGGCACAGGTGTTGATACAGTAGCCATTGATACATCTCCAATTATACGTAGAGCTTCTTTGCATGCATGATACATTCGCAACATTTCTTCTCGTTTCTGAGCTTCTTCCGGTGACTCTTCCATCATTGAAGACTAATAAAAATTGATATTGTTTAGTATAAGTATAATAAAGAATTAATAAATAAATTATTTTATAAATTTTAATTTACCTGATCACCACTGGCATATAAATGAGCTAATAATTCTCCATTTATAAAATCCTTGGCGTTATTGATTATTAAATGCATTATTGTTTTTGGAACAAGATCTCGAGTAGTCTTTGTAACTATTTTCATGTATGAATCAACCAAGTTTCTTATCGTCTCCACTTGACGTTCCAATTGTGGATCCATTGAGGACTGACCTTCATTACCACCCTTCAAATAATTATATTGCAACATTAAAATGATTTACTTTAAATAGTTAATTTACTAAAAACCAATTAGTATTAAATAAAAAACTAAACTCGTGTTATGTATAGATAGTTATTGTATACGCACTAATTGATACATATATTTTTAGTGCTAGCTGGGTAAATTACAAAAAAATGTATTTGTTTATGTTCTTAAAGCTTTGTATCATTTTACAATACATTAGGTAGCGTGTGTGTAGTTGTTTCTTTTTACTTGTGAGATCATTGTCAAGTTGATCAAACTTTACAAACCTCATATCCTTCCTTTCGATGTTCAAAGTTAATAAATAAAACAAAATCAATTTAATAATAAAATAAATAACTTTGCAATCAAGTGACTTATTTTTTAATGTAAAGAAAAAAAAAAATTTTACGTGCATTTATTAAATGCTGAATAACACAATTTATTTGACAATTGTCTTTTTAAAATTTTTATACGCTTAAAAAAATGTAAATGATGCATTAATTGAATTTAGAATGATTTTAAATTAAATGTTAGAGATAAGATGTTGATAGATTAATCTTGGGAGGTAAAGTCTTATCACTATGTTATTTTTCAAAAGAAATTATTCAATCCACACATCCTTAATTGTGACTCACCAAAATTTTTTTATCCTACAAATAATATAATCTTTGTATGAATATAAATAGAAATTCAATGAAAAAAAAAAAAAAAAAAAGGTACAAAAAATGTTTCATCTAGATTCCTAATTTCATTATAAGTCGATATAACAATAAGTGATTATAAAATAGTAAGTTATAATTACCTCGCCATCACCATTGGCTGCTTCTGTTGATTTCTCAGGATAAACACCAGCTCGCAAGAAAGATGCTTTCCAAGAATCAACATCGTCTTGAGTTTCACAACTAAGCTCAAGTTGCTTATAATCTTTATAAACGTTACGACCTTCGGGGTTAAATAGCGCAAATAAATGACGTCGTGACATGAATCCTTGTTCAAGATCACGAAGTTTTAAGCCATCCAGTGGTAACATGTATTTTTTTTCACGCTCCTAAAAATTTATGAAAAGTAAGTTCAAGTAAACTGAGTTCTCAGTAAAAAATTTAATTTCTTTAAAAACTTACCTCTTCGTCTTTAAACCAAGATATACTCTCAGATGTTAAAACAAACCAGTAGTCTCTTGAACCACCTTTCATAATACCTAAATTATGGATACACATGTAACCTTTACGTATAACTTGATTGCCAAGTGTATGACGTCCAGCTTTAACAGCGTTCTCGGAAGATTGTTGAGCGCTAAAACAAATTAAAAATATTTTTATTATTTCATTAAAAGTTATTTGTAAAAAAAAATAATTGTTAATGTAATAATATTAATAAAAAAAAGAATAAAATTAATAATAATTATAAAATAATAATAAAATTAAAATAAATAATAATAGTAACGAAAATTATTTTTTTTAAGCATTAAAATTATGAATTTCACAATGCTGTTTTTTCTTTTCAACTATCAGTAAGTACATTAATTTTAATACGTAAAAAAAAAAAAACTTTTATGCAAACGAAAAAAAAAAAAAGCAAATGAATTTTTTAAGCAATTATTAACTAGATCCAACTAAATCACTTAAACTATAACAATTTCAATGATTTTATTGTTGTTCATGTTGGTATGAATTTGCTTTCATGATATCAATCCAAATTGTAAAAGAAGCATCAACTTTTCATGAAAAATAGATATGATGAAAATCAAGAAAAAAAAATTTAATATAACAGTAAAAATTAAAAAATAAGTAATTGATAAAAAATAAAATAATTAATAATTAGAGATTATAATTAAATAAAAAAATATTATTTCCTTGCGATTGATGTTGATGTTTTCTTACCTTGAATTATAAATACTGGCGGCCGCGCTGCCAATATAATTAAATAATTGTTTTTATTTATGACGATTTTAACGCATAGCGAAGTATGAAAAATATAGAAAATTCAGATAGAAAAATTAAAAAAAAAAAACGCATCATTTTTGATAGCAAAGAAATGCAAATTAAAAAAATTAAAATTCTCAAACTTGTTAAAAATTCTAAATAAAAATTATATCTAACCAATAGCTGTTATATTTGAAACAAAAAAAAAATCAATAATATTTAATACTAAATTATGCCTGTGTGTAGTATGTAAATGTGATAAAGTGATTATTTTAATTCTAGTGCAAGTGCTTCATTGATTTTAATGCAACGGTGTTTATATTTCATTTCTGTCAACTTCAATACTTTTTTTTTTTTAATTATTAACAACCAATTATCTAAAGAAAAGCAGTAGTTACTTTAATTTTGAAACAAACAAAGCGCTAAATTATAAAACAATAATTTATTGCTGTATTTACATATAATTATTGCTACAAAATAAATAAAATAAATTAATAATTTAATTCACTCGTTATGTGTCAGTTATTTACGAGTTATAGAATTATAATATTATGGATGCAGTGAAATATACTGTATTTTCAAGCGTGAAAAAATTACATTTACGTCCAAGTTTTACAACAAAATATCTACTTTAAATAATAACAATCAAAAAATAACAAATTTATTGAATGAGAGAGTATATATATGATGAATTGATTTACGAACAAATATAAAATATATCACAGAAAAAATGAAAAAAGCAGCGCCAATTAAAAAATCATTCTATGTTTATAAGCTATAGAATTCAACAGTAAAAAAAAAAAATAAAAAAAGAAATAAACATAACTATATCTTACTTGGCAAAACCAATAAAATCTTCATGATTAGTATTCATATAAGCCAACTCGCAATCAACGAGAAGAATAAGTTGTTCTTTACAAAGCTGTTCTCGTTGTCTGACGTAAGTAGTAATTATTCGTTCAGTTTCTTCTCTTAGTCTAGGATAGCGTGACATCTAAAATATTAATTAAATTATATTAATATCAAAGAAACTTTTAATATATTTATCTAAATAAATTCATCCAGATTATTATTGATTTAAACTTACCCTATCTGTACAAATGCGCACAACATTACTAAGTTCTTGTACGACTAGGTCAACACATTTTAAACTTGGCTCTTTTAACCTATTTATTTGTTTTTTCACAATAGCTTCAAAGGCCATGTCAGGAGTGAAGAGTCCCACCCTAATACCTAAAAAAATTTTTAAATAAAAATAAGAAATTGTGTTTAGGAATTATATTGCTTGAAAAAACGTAATAAATGAATTTCTTTCAATTATGAAACAAAATTTACCATGAATATTTCTGATTGCAAATGCAATCTCTCTGCGTAATTCCTTTTCATCAAATTCCATTTTAACAATTTCGAAAGGAAATCTTTCGTGGAACAATCGATTTATTTTAGCACCACCACTCAATTCCATTGTATTTATTTGAGCAGATCCAGAGCCTTCAATAGTTCTTTCAAAATCTGATTGTAGTTGTTGAATCATCCTTAAAACAATAAGTGTTTAAATTAAATAGTTTGTTGTTTAAATAATGTTGTAAGCTAAGAGCCTTGGAATCATTAAAAGGTCGATTAAAAGAAAAAAAAAATCTTGAAGCAAATTGGTTATTGAAAAAAAATCAAATATCACACGTAATAATAATAAGTTATTCAATTTAATAAAAAGAACCATGCGGTAGAATAAAATAACTAAAAATTATAAAAATAAAACTCCCAATCAAAAATTCAAACGCGAAAAATAAAATACCTACATAAACATTTGAATCGATCTGAAAACAGTACAAAATAATTGACTCCAGTAGATGCCAAGACCCTAATATTGATTGTATCAATTGTAAACTATATTGATTTATCGGTTTTATTAAAAATAAAATTTAAAAAATGATATCAACACAAATTTATTTACTTACTGTAACATAGCTTTTGTTTTAATGGCAGGATCATCCGGCCTAAAATGCTTATACTGTTCAACATCTTTTTCCAAAGTCAACAATTGCTTTTGTAATCTATCACGTAATGCAGGTAGAGTATCTCGAATATGGTTAGTCAATTGTTGATTAAGAACTCGCTGCAAATACGGTGTTCCCAATCTGTCTGCCAAATGTCGATATGATGGATGGCTAAATTAAAAAATAGAATTAAATGTATATAAATACTAAAAAATTTCAATACTCTATTTTTTACGTCAGTAGAAATAATACCTGAGGAAAAATTTCCTTTCAGCTGCCAAAGCATTTTTAATGTCTTTCCTTCCATCAATATCCTTCTGACTTCGGTTCACCACACCAATGTATCCACGTCGCAAGGGTAATAATTTATTTTCCAAAATATCTCGTGCATCTGTACCTTCGTCCATAAGATCGAGCTTAGTGATAACACCAATTGTTCTGACACCTGTGATAATTTTATAATTATTAAATATTTAATTGAACAAAATTTAAATATATAATATTAATCATCTTTTTACCTTGAAGATCCACTTCTTTGGCAAGTTTTAAAGCATCACTGTTAGCTAAATCAGTGTTTGCTGGTGTCACTGCTAATATAAGACAATTATCTTTTTTTATGAATTGGAAAATCATTCCTTTAATTTGATTTTCAATATCAGCAGGTTGATCACCGATTGGAACTTTTGTAAGACCGGGCAAATCAATCAGAGTCAAGTTCAAGACTGCAAAGATATTGTCATTAAATGATTGTTCATAGAATGAGTAAAGATTTAGGAAAATAAATCGAAAACATGTATACCATTTGGCGAATAAACTCTCAAGTTTATGGGTACATTCGATATTCCTTTATTACTTCCTGTAACTCGATCAGTTTCAGCTTCGATTTCTCTACGAACCTCATCGAAATCCACGAATTTTTTGCCTTTACAGTGCAAAAATTCTGCATATTCTGTAATAATAATTTAAAAAAATTTTTATAAGTTCAATAATAACCAAATAAAAAATTGAAAGTATTGTTAAGTATTGTCATAGTATCAAGTTCATTAGTCTCAAATTACATTTATGATTTTATTATCAATTATTTGAAGTATCCAGGATGTAAGATAATGAATGAACGATAATTAAAGAGGAAGTTTTGTTATTTAGATTAATCAAATAGAAAAGAACTCATTGATTCAAAGTCATTTCTACAATTCTTAAATCTTAAATAGATAAATAAAGAAAAAAAAAACTTTTACCATTTAATTACCATAAGTACATATGCAACGTTTTAATAGACAAAAAAAAAAAAATACTATTTAATGATATCATATAAATGACTCACCAGTAGTGCTGTGGATGAGTTGTAAAATGAGTGGTCTTCTTGTTACAATCCCTGATCCTCTTGGCAGGAAGTCTCTGTAAATAATAGTATCATTCAATATTTTCAATCAATCAATAAAATTTAATTAATTAATAATAATAATGACAATAATAAAAAAATCCAATAAAAGATTGAAAAATCGAATTATTCTTTATAAAAAATATAGAAAATTGTGTTAAATAATGAAAAATATTTATGAATTGATAATTTTAATAAAATAGTAAATACTATAAATTTATGGAGTATTTAAACATATTGAGTAGCGAATCAAACGATTGACAGGCCACCACGAGTGGGCGCCTTGACGTCATAAAACTTGGGCCGATATTGCCAATAGAAATATATGTGCTCCATAATGATAATGTATTTACCATTAGTCGAGTTTTGATTAAAAAATCTATATTAAATGTCACACAAATTATATTTTGTATAAATACGTACTAATGACATTATATCAAAACTAATAATTACTTATGATTAAAATGAAAAATAAAAAATTCCATTACGCCGTAACTTTAATTGCCACGCCTTGTATTAAATATAAAGATTCAATAGTTAAAAGAGAGATATAGAAAGATGTAAAGAAAGAGGACAAGATTTTTAATCAATAGAAGTGCTCTCCATACTGTCAGAAATGTTCTAGCTATAAAAACAATGATAGCTAAACTTGTAATGAATAAAGTAATTTTTTATAATATATAGATGTCATAACTTACTTTCCAACAAAATTTTCTAAAACAGAACTTTTTCCCGCACTTTGACCACCCACAACAGCAATTTGGGGAAGATCCAATTGCATAGACACTCCAAGTTGAGTAAAAGCATCTTGGAGTTTATTAACAATTGGAATCAATTGTTCCATACCCACATTACCCACGGTACTCGACATGATTTATAGATTTATGTATATCGTCAACTAGGAGAAGACGTATCACCGCGGCTTACGCCGTTTATTACTTGCGTCCTGATGATACTCTTCTCGTGGACGTTAATCGAGCTTGTCCACTTCTACTTGTGATTACAGATTTTACTGCCACCACCTCTTTGTAAAACGACTAAACGAAATCTCTCTTCCTATTCGCTGGCGGTAGTGGATATTAGCAAAATGGCCGATATCACTTTTTTTGTCACATTCATTCTTATAGAATAGATATTTTTTTTCGTAACCACATCTTCACTATTTTAATTATTATTTTGTACGATTTTAGTAATACTATTGGAGCACTTATTTATTTACTATTATAATGGCTGAGAAGAGTAATCAAGTACTGAGAGGTTCTCCGTTTACCTCCGTGTTAGTAGTATCTTACATATACACACATTGAGAACGGCTCAATCGATAATAGAAGCGTGCGCAGTGAGAATCTTGTCATGACCCATGACCTAGTTTTAATGTCCAGATAAAAATCCATATTTTACTTTCAGTAGATGATCAATCGTTATTACTCTTACTGAAACAATTTAAAAATTAGTTTTTTTCGTCATTGCTATAATTAATATAAACTAATAATTTATAAATCATTTTATATTAATCGAATTTTTTTTTTCAAAATTATCATATGAGTTTTTGTCAAATACAACATTATTTTGTTATTGATTTACTTGCCGCTGCCCTGATAGCCACAGTTTCAGACCAACCAAGTTGGTGTCAGATAGTTGGCACCAACTTAGCGACAACTTGCGGTCAACTTCCGAATTTGTAACTGTTGGCGCCAAGATGAAAATTAAGTTAGCCGACATTTAAAAATTTTTAGAATTTTTTTTTTATTGAAAAAATTATTAAAAATAATAATAAAAAAAAATTTCACTTGTAGAACACTCCAAAAACTGTAAGTGCAATTTTTTAAAAATATTTTTTTCTTCTAATTTAATTATTAAAAAAAAAAATCAAAAAATTAAAATCGTCAGCTAACTTAATTATTACGGCGCCAAGTTGGCTACAAGTTTCTGAGAAAAAAGAGACCAATTTCCCTGATAGCCAGCCATCTTTTAACTCAAACTTTTTTATTCAATCTATTGTCGAAATTTGTAGCCAACTTGATGAAAAAAGTTGCAAACCAAACGTTTTTACTTGTCTACAATACAAGTTACACTGCAATTTGACGTCAAGACTTGCAGTACAAGTATTTTATTCAAGTTGTAGTAAAATTGTAGTACAATTTATTTAACCAAAAGTTTGATGTTAACTTGTATTCAAATTGGGGCTGTAGATTTTAGTCAATTTGTTTACAATGGCAGTAACACATCTTTACTCCAAATTACTCAACTCGGCGACATACTGTACTCAACATAAAAAATTAAAACTGTTGTACTGTAAAAATTTACGGCAAACTTGATGTCAAGTTATAACTCTGTAAGGGCCAGTTTTTCAATCCGAGATAAAATTTTATCCGAGATAAAAGTACTGCCATTATGATAAAAAAATAAATAATTTAGCACAGTGACATTGTCTACGAGTAATTCTCCTTGAATTCAGTCACTTATTTTGAATTAAAATAAATAAACATTAGTCACATGTCACAGAAATATTTACCTCCAACTGTAACAACATCCTGATTATAAATAAATAAAATAAATATTAGGAAAACGAATGACCCTGAAGGAGATCCCTGTAACTTCCTGCTAATTCCATATCTAAGCGCTTAATGTTGTTGAGCTCTTCAAGCTCCAAATTACAATTTATGTGTTATTTTGAGCTTTATGAGCTCAAAGAGGTAGCTGTTCTATGCTTTTGAGCCCTTCGAGCTCATATCTTGCGTTTGACATATCTATTATTATTAATTTATAATTGTGTTAATTAATTTAAAATAATTTAAATGACACAATAAGAGATTATTATTTTTATGATATATTTATTTATTTTTATTTAAATAAACGACCAAATTCATGGAGAACTAATTGAGAGCAATATCACGCCACTGAGTTATTTATTTTTTTTTTTTATTTTATTGGCGGTACTTTTATCTCGGATAAAATTTTATCCCGGATTGAAAAACTGGCCCTAACTGTTGAAATTCAACTACTTTTACTATCCAAGAGTTGCCGCTAAGTTGGTGACAAGTTGCGGCCAACTTGGCTATCAAGGTGTATGTACTGATATCCATGTGAATATAAATATTTATCAGGAAATAGAGATGAAAAATTATTTTTGAAGTTATACTTCTTTTGGCGCGTTAGGCAAAAATGATGAGGGTAAATTTTTACGATGCGCGCGCACACCGTTACGAAAAACCGACATGATGAAGTTAGCTATAGTCAACATTTTAGTTTTTCTAAAAAAGGTACCAACAAAGTAAAAAAAAACATCTACGTATGTTTGCGTGAGAACAAAGAGTATAAGATAGAGGGGAAGGTCGCGTATACAGTTACGAATGCCATCTGATGTTTGTGTCCAAGTACTAAACTACTGTCATGGCGGTTTAAAGTAATGCGTCATACTGGTAATACCAAAGTTGCTTGTAACGGTTAACAACACTTGATTTTTATTTTAATAAAAAATTTTCTTTAAACTAATTAAAAAAACATGGTTCGGTGTAATGTGAAAGGATGTCTAAGAAGACCAGAAATAGATAAAGACCATTCTTTTTTTTTATGGCCAAAAGAAGAACGAATGTAAGTAATAATATAGGCATTAAATTTATAGCGTCTCAAAAGTAAGTTATTGATTATCGATCAACTTTTTTTGCTTGTAAATATTTATATCCTGTAAATTTGGTGTTGTTCAATGTTTTTTATTTACATTTAATAATATAATATTAAAAATTTTGCTCGATGAAATTAGTAATTTGAAATTGATTTATAAATTTTATTGTATAGACGCCAACAATGGAAGGACTTTGCTCAGTATAAGGGGTTTTCAAACAGTTTACGAATTTGTTCCGATCATTTTGAAAGACGTTATATCAAGAAAAATACACCACCCAAACGACTATTAGTATCAAATGCTGTTCCAACTTTACTTCCGCCTGATAATATTTTGAAGATGCCCAAAAATATGTCAAAACCTCCTTTGACAAATTCAACTGCAAAAAATTTATTGGTAAACGTCAACAATGACGAAGTTATATTTATGAACGTCCGGCTTTGAAAGGTATTGTTTTAAAAATAATTTAAAGAAAAACTGAGAATTGTTTCAGTAGTAAAATAGAACAATATCAGAAATATCAATATTTTTGTTACAGATGAATGTTCGCATAATGACAGAGGCATTACTTTTGAAGTACGCAAGGCCACTGATACGGAACCAGCTTTAATTAATATTGAAACAAATAGCTTTGTGAAAATTTCATTAAGAGGTAAGAAGTGCTTCTGCTTGCATTAGAAGCTGTGACTTAAATACAGACAAAAAAATCAGTTAATTGTATTTAATATTTAAATTCATGATTTTTTTGCGTTTGTGTCGAGTAAAAGAAACTGGTGAAGCCATAGAAAATGTAATAAATCCTAAAGTGAGGGGATAAAGTGCAGAAGATATACTTGAAAAAAAATTCATAAAAAAATTCTGTGATAATCAACTGAGAGAACTGACAACTGTATTCACAATATTTATTTATTTAAGTGTTTTTGAACCTACCACACGTGTTTTATATCAGTCCGAATAAAATATATACAAAAATACATAAATATATATTTTTTAAAAAAACATTATAATATATTATAATTATAATAGTTTTTACATATTTTATATGAAAGAAATATGTAAAAAAACTATGTGACTTTGTAAAACACAAAAATTGTGATACAAATAAAACTTATTTATTTATTTATAGTTTTTACATATTCCTTTGAATATGTTTATAGAATTTGGGGTGAGTTGACGGTATATATTATTTATATACATGATAAACTAAAATAAATTTTCACATTCTTATTTAATGTCTGATAAATTTATAATTACATTAATAAATTAATAATAGATACAAATAATAATAATATTTAATTCCGAAAAAATTAAATTATTATAAATATTAAATTTAATTAAGTGTTTCTTTCTTAAAGTAATCTTAAAATTTTTAATAATAAAATTTATCGTCAAATTGTCCCATACACAGTACAACATGACGATAGTATAAAAATAAATTTTAAATAAATATTTGGAACACACTAATAAACTTAAACGAATAATGAAATTAATCACAGCGAGAAATAATTAAAAAAAAAAAAAAAAAACAATTTAAAATAAATTTTTAGAAAGATAAAATTTTTATCTTGTTACACCAAAGAAGTATAACTTCTAACACGTGTACATAAGTACGCACACACTTTTTTTAAATTCAGTTTAAAGAATATTTATGTCACACCGTTTTTTGTGATATATCTTTTAATGAAAACGAACATAATTATTATAATAATGCATGCTTGCCGTATATTCTAAAAAATGAATTTATTATTAAAGTGATAAATTTATTTTACAGATAAAAGATAAAGAAAAAATGCCGCTGCAAAGAAACAATCAAACAATTCATAAGAAAGTTGACACCTGGATTATCAATAATGTAGATAAGTACAACTTTATTGATGATTCAAAAGAGGATGATGTTTTGGTTCATGAGATTCATTCTGGATTCGATGGTAAAGATAAGGGGATTGTCAAGTTAATATTTTGCCATCATATCAACGATTCAATGAGAGCCTATGCTCTCTTTGAACCCGTTAATGAAGATGATATTAAGCATCACGTAGTTGTCACTATGTACGTTCTTACTGCTGAAAATCATTATCAGCCAATCGGACGAGAAATTCTTCGAACTGACACAAGGATGGATAGACTTTGCGGCCACAATATGGTTTTGATGGACGAAGAGGAAATAGAAGGCCGGACAGTAGGATTTACAAGGGCAAGGTTAGAAGAATTTTATGGGAAGAAGTTGGAAGGGCCATTTCCAATCTATAAACAACCCGAAAGAATAATTAATAACACAATTACACTGCGAATTGAACTTTTAACATATTTGGATTCTGAGCCCATGTTTCCATTGCATAAACTATTTAGATTCATGGCAGATGTTCAGCAACCAGACTGGATCTTACGATTATATGAAAATAAAAATTTTAGCGGCGATTTAACAATTAAGATACAAGATAATATATTTCGAGCCCACAAACAAGTGTTAGATCAACGAGGATTTTCATTGAACGATGCAACTACCGAGGAAAATAATATTTTTATTTTTTCGGGCATAAGTCCCGAGATATTTGGTATGCTATTGGAGTATGTTTACACCGGCGCTATCGAGAAATTGAAAGACTTTGCTGAACCTTTATTAGAAGCTGCAGACCGATTTGAACTGAACGATCTCAAGTTTTTATGTGAAAAGGTATTAGCAGAAAATTATGTTGATTATAATAATTTTACCGATGCCTACATTTTAGCTAAACGCTGTAATGCTAGTGGGTTATTGAGTTATGCTCAAGTTATGGGATATGTGCTTTCTCATGGAGACTCTGAAAGATGGTGTAGAAATAATAGGCCAACTGCTGAGCAATTTTAAAAATATGCATTGATAATGAAAAAAATATGGGAAGCAGAAGAAACTTCAAGAGCACATCCTTCTGATGCTCTAGGTGTGTTAAACAAAAAGTTTAATGACTTTTCTACAAATGGTTCGTTTGTTTATTCATTGGCATATTTTTAGTTTTTTACTCTCATCAGTTTATTGTTATATTAATTTCGAATTTATTTTTTTAGATTCAAACGCGACAGCAGCAGTAATGTCAATATTATACTCAAGATAAGTTTGTTTGACTGGGATTAGCTGGGTTTGTTTTTTTTCCATTGACTGGAAAATAATTTATCTCGAATTAAGGTTGAATAATTTATATAACCTTCAGCTTCAGTTAGCATTAAATTTTTCATAAAATTTTTTGATAATTAAAAAAAAATAACAAGTTTATAATTTTTTGAATAATTATAGTAATAATAAAACTAAAAAATAAATAATCTCATTGTTAATTAATTTGATCTCCATTTTTTCTTTTTTATTATAAACATGCAATTTATTGAAGTCGAAGTACCTTCAATTAGACCCGGAGCTCTTCCGATTATGTGACTTTGGTCTCTCCGCGCTGTGAGTTTTAGCCGCAGTGTCCAAGTACCCGTATCCAAAACCGTAGCCTCCAAAAGCTTTAGTGGTCAAGTTAACCCAGGATTTAGGCTTCGAGTATTGAATGCAGGTTGGAGGCCGATGCTGGACATTGGGGTCCCAATAGAGGGTATCTCTATTCAGAGAAGTCAAGCAAGATGCTCCGCTTTCGACGTTTGTAGAAATTTCACTGCTGGTAATGGAATGAAGACTATATCCTGATGTTGATGTTGTTGCTGTTGAAAGCCAAAATTGGGTTGATCCAGTTCTGCATCTCTTCTCCGAAAACTGACATAGACCATAGCGTCATAGTCTCCAATTACTCTGCAATGGATCGTATTTTGAAGGAGAAGAGGACCTACATCCTGAACATCGTCAAGCAGATCAAGAAGTCTGGGTGCAATGTCCTCCTGGTCCAGAAGTCGATTCTCCAGGACGCCATCAGCGACCTGGCGATCCACTTCTTGGACAAAATAAAGATCATGGTGATCAAGGACATTGAGCGCGAGGACATTTCTTCTATTTGCAAGACCCGCGGTTGCAGACCAATCGCTTCCTTGGACCACTTCACCGCCGAGAACCTGGTGAACGCGGAACTCTGTAAGGAAGTCCAGACTGGCAATTCAAAGTTCGTTAAAATCACCGGGATCCAGAACCTCGAGCGCACTGTCACTGTCTTGGTTCGCGGAAGCAACAAGCTTGTCTTCGAAGAAGCTGCTAGATCTTTCCACGATACTCTGTGTCATCAGATGTCTCGTTAACGAAAAGGCCCTGATTGTTGGAGGTGGTGCTCCAGAGATTGAACTTGCACTTAAACTGTCCGTCTACACACAAACTCTTGGAGGAGTTGACGCTTACTGTGTCAAAGCCTTCGCTGACGCTCTGGAAATCATTCCCTTGACCCTCGCTCAAAACGCTGGGCTCAATCCTATTTCTGCTGAAATCACTGCTCTGATTAATGTACGCAAGGGATTAATACTTATAAAATTTTTTTTGTTGTTAAATATTTTAAGTCATTATTTTTCTTTAATTTTTGATACAAATTTTTATAATTTAAAAAATAATTCAAACAATTTGCTCGTCTGGCAGTAACTGTTCTAATCACTTATTAATTTGAATTAAAATTATTGGCCAGAGTTTACAGTTATTTATTATTTATTTATATTATGAGTAATTACTACTTAGATTGTTACATTTTTATAAATATATTTGTAAACTTGTAAGATTACTTAGGTCAGAATAAAAAATAAATTTATTTTTTTCTATTGAAAAAATTTGGAGTAAAAAAAAAAACACAGTACTAGATATTTTTTTAATATCTTGGTTAAAATTTCTATTGATTTAAATTTGATAATTATTTAATAAAAATTTTTTCAATTTTAAAATTAATGAATAAATATACAAAATTTGAATAAACCCTGAATAAAAAAAAGTATTGAGACAAAGAAAAAAATATTGAAAAGTATTGGTTTTCTAGTCAATCTAATACTTTCCAATACTTTTTTCTTTGTCTCAATACTTTTTTTTATTCAGGGTTTATTCAAATTTTGTATATTTATTCATTAATTTTAAAATTGAAAAAATTTTTATTAAATAATTATCAAATTTAAATCAATAGAAATTTTAACCAAGATATTAAAAAAATATCTAGTACTGTGTTTTTTTTTTTACTCCAAATTTTTTCAATAGAAAAAAATAAATTTATTTTTTATTCTGACCTAAGTAATCTTACAAGTTTACAAATATATTTATAAAAATGTAACAATCTAAGTAGTAATTACTCATAATATAAATAAATAATAAATAACTGTAAACTCTGGCCAATAATTTTAATTCAAATTAATAAGTGATTAGAACAGTTACTGCCAGACGAGCAAATTGTTTGAATTATTTTTTAAATTATAAAAATTTGTATCAAAAATTAAAGAAAAATAATGACTTAAAATATTTAACAACAAAAAAAATTTTATAAGTATTAATCCCTTGCGTACATTAATCAGAGCAGTGATTTCAGCAGAAATAGGATTGAGCCCAGCGTTTTGAGCGAGGGTCAAGGGAATGATTTCCAGAGCGTCAGCGAAGGCTTTGACACAGTAAGCGTCAACTCCTCCAAGAGTTTGTGTGTAGACGGACAGTTTAAGTGCAAGTTCAATCTCTGGAGCACCACCTCCAACAATCAGGGCCTTTTCGTTAACGAGACATCTGATGACACAGAGTATCGTGGAAAGATCTAGCAGCTTCTTCGAAGACAAGCTTGTTGCTTCCGCGAACCAAGACAGTGACAGTGCGCTCGAGGTTCTGGATCCCGGTGATTTTAACGAACTTTGAATTGCCAGTCTGGACTTCCTTACAGAGTTCCGCGTTCACCAGGTTCTCGGCGGTGAAGTGGTCCAAGGAAGCGATTGGTCTGCAACCGCGGGTCTTGCAAATAGAAGAAATGTCCTCGCGCTCAATGTCCTTGATCACCATGATCTTTATTTTGTCCAAGAAGTGGATCGCCAGGTCGCTGATGGCGTCCTGGAGAATCGACTTCTGGACCAGGAGGACATTGCACCCAGACTTCTTGATCTGCTTGACGATGTTCAGGATGTAGGTCCTCTTCTCCTTCAAAATACGATCCATTGCAGAGTAATTGGAGACTATGACGCTATGGTCTATGTCAGTTTTCGGAGAAGAGATGCAGAACTGGATCAACCCAATTTTGGCTTTCAACAGCAACAACATCAACATCAGGATATAGTCTTCATTCCATTACCAGCAGTGAAATTTCTACAAACGTCGAAAGCGGAGCATCTTGCTTGACTTCTCTGAATAGAGATACCCTCTATTGGGACCCCAATGTCCAGCATCGGCCTCCAACCTGCATTCAATACTCGAAGCCTAAATCCTGGGTTAACTTGACCACTAAAGCTTTTGGAGGCTACGGTTTTGGATACGGGTACTTGGACACTGCGGCTAAAACTCACAGCGCGGAGAGACCAAAGTCACATAATCGGAAGAGCTCCGGGTCTAATTGAAGGTACTTCGACTTCAATAAATTGCATGTTTATAATAAAAAAGAAAAAATGGAGATCAAATTAATTAACAATGAGATTATTTATTTTTTAGTTTTATTATTACTATAATTATTCAAAAAATTATAAACTTGTTATTTTTTTTTAATTATCAAAAAATTTTATGAAAAATTTAATGCTAACTGAAGCTGAAGGTTATATAAATTATTCAACCTTAATTCGAGATAAATTATTTTCCAGTCAATGGAAAAAAAACAAACCCAGCTAATCCCAGTCAAACAAACTTATCTTGAGTATAATATTGACATTACTGCTGCTGTCGCGTTTGAATCTAAAAAAATAAATTCGAAATTAATATAACAATAAACTGATGAGAGTAAAAAACTAAAAATATGCCAATGAATAAACAAACGAACCATTTGTAGAAAAGTCATTAAACTTTTTGTTTAACACACCTAGAGCATCAGAAGGATGTGCTCTTGAAGTTTCTTCTGCTTCCCATATTTTTTTCATTATCAATGCATATTTTTAAAATTGCTCAGCAGTTGGCCTATTATTTCTACACCATCTTTCAGAGTCTCCATGAGAAAGCACATATCCCATAACTTGAGCATAACTCAATAACCCACTAGCATTACAGCGTTTAGCTAAAATGTAGGCATCGGTAAAATTATTATAATCAACATAATTTTCTGCTAATACCTTTTCACATAAAAACTTGAGATCGTTCAGTTCAAATCGGTCTGCAGCTTCTAATAAAGGTTCAGCAAAGTCTTTCAATTTCTCGATAGCGCCGGTGTAAACATACTCCAATAGCATACCAAATATCTCGGGACTTATGCCCGAAAAAATAAAAATATTATTTTCCTCGGTAGTTGCATCGTTCAATGAAAATCCTCGTTGATCTAACACTTGTTTGTGGGCTCGAAATATATTATCTTGTATCTTAATTGTTAAATCGCCGCTAAAATTTTTATTTTCATATAATCGTAAGATCCAGTCTGGTTGCTGAACATCTGCCATGAATCTAAATAGTTTATGCAATGGAAACATGGGCTCAGAATCCAAATATGTTAAAAGTTCAATTCGCAGTGTAATTGTGTTATTAATTATTCTTTCGGGTTGTTTATAGATTGGAAATGGCCCTTCCAACTTCTTCCCATAAAATTCTTCTAACCTTGCCCTTGTAAATCCTACTGTCCGGCCTTCTATTTCCTCTTCGTCCATCAAAACCATATTGTGGCCGCAAAGTCTATCCATCCTTGTGTCAGTTCGAAGAATTTCTCGTCCGATTGGCTGATAATGATTTTCAGCAGTAAGAACGTACATAGTGACAACTACGTGATGCTTAATATCATCTTCATTAACGGGTTCAAAGAGAGCATAGGCTCTCATTGAATCGTTGATATGATGGCAAAATATTAACTTGACAATCCCCTTATCTTTACCATCGAATCCAGAATGAATCTCATGAACCAAAACATCATCCTCTTTTGAATCATCAATAAAGTTGTACTTATCTACATTATTGATAATCCAGGTGTCAACTTTCTTATGAATTGTTTGATTGTTTCTTTGCAGCGGCATTTTTTCTTTATCTTTTATCTGTAAAATAAATTTATCACTTTAATAATAAATTCATTTTTTAGAATATACGGCAAGCATGCATTATTATAATAATTATGTTCGTTTTCATTAAAAGATATATCACAAAAAACGGTGTGACATAAATATTCTTTAAACTGAATTTAAAAAAAGTGTGTGCGTACTTATGTACACGTGTTAGAAGTTATACTTCTTTGGTGTAACAAGATAAAAATTTTATCTTTCTAAAAATTTATTTTAAATTGTTTTTTTTTTTTTTTTTTTA